TCCCAGGGAGAAGGGCAGGAGGAGCAGGGGCGCTCCCGCTGGGGTGGGCGGCACCTGGGAGAGGCTGGCCCTGCTCCCTCAGTGGGGGTGGGGTGGGGTGTCGAGCAGACCCAGAGAAGGAGGGCCACGGCAGCCGTACTGCACACCCTCAAACTCAAAACCTGACCAGTCTACAGGGAACACGGGCCGAGATATCTTATCTAGATTTGTCCTGAGCACCTGGCCATACAGGTCCTGTCCCCGGGGTGGCATAGGAGACGGTGCCCCGGGAAAAGCACTGATCTGAAATCCTGCAAACTGGCGCAGAGGCCCAACCCCTGCAATCTCTGTCCTGTGACTCACACGCCCTGGGACCTCCCTCTTTCTACACCAAGAGCCACTGAACATGAGACGGTTCATTTTTGGTGTCAACCTGGCTGGACCGAGGGGCATGCAGACGGCTGGTGAAACCTTGTTTCTGGGTGTGTGTGAAGGGGGCTGATTCAGGGCACTGTGTACAGCAGGTGGCCTCCCCGGGGGCAGGGGCGCCATCCAGTGCATCCAGGACCCGGATGGAACAAAAAGGTGGAGGAAGGGCGAATCGGCTCCCTGCTCTTGAGCCAGGACGTCCATCCTCTCCTGACCTGGGGCTCCCGCCCTGCTGTTCCTCGGGCCTGGGGATGGACAGGATTTCTACCCTCAGCCCCCTGATTCTCAGGCCTAAAGACTCGGGCTGAATGACGCCGCGGGTCGCAGTACCTCTGGGCCGTCATACTCCTGGGAGCCAGTTCCCATAATAAATCCCCTCTTGGGTGTCTCTATGTCCCACGGGCCCTGTTTCCCTGGAGCACCCAGGACTGTCAAACTTTAGAGCTTGCGTGCAGAACACAGTGCAGAAGGGGGCAGTTTCCCCCTCCGTCCCTCCGGATCTCTCCTCTTCCTGCTGAATGGACGTTGCAGAGACCCCCCCCCCATCCTGTGGGCACCGCGGAAGCCACATCTGGGCGGTGGAGGCGATGCCTTGTGGGGGACGGAGCCCGCCAGGTCACCACATCTACTGCGGACTCAGGGACCTTGAAAGAAAGGCCCATCCGGAATCGATAGAAATTAGGATTTTTTTTTTTAAATCCAGGGGCAATTCAATGACGAGATTGTATTACCGAGTGTAGGGAAGTCGAAAGATCTGTTTTGACTGGACGCAGAATAATTCATCTCAAGTCCATGTCCTGATTAATATCTTGAAGGATTTTGGGAAAATTTTGCTTCAGTTCGGATTAGTTTTGTTTTGATGGAGGCTGTTCCTCCCCTGCCGGTGCCCGTTGACTTATGAGTTCCTTTCTGCTAAATGTCAGTTTTGTGGGTGATTTCCTATTTCAGACACCGAGCCTTCACCAAATACGTCCTAGAACACACACAAAATACCCGTCCTGCTGAGCCAGTTCATACATCTGGGAATTAAAAAAAAAAAGTATGAAAGCAACAGCCGACATTGAAAATCTTTTTTTTTTTAATTGTATTTACTTATTTATAAGAGACACACAGAGAGAGGCAGAGACACAGGCAGAGGGAGAAGAAGGTTCCCTCTGGGGAGCCCATGCAGGACTCGATTCCGGGACCCCGGGGTCACGACCTGAGCCAAAGGCAGACGCTCCACCGCTGAGCCCCCCAGGGGTCCCCAACATTGGAAATCTGTTCGTGATTTATAATCCAGAAGATCCTTGCTATTAGAGGCCCCTCGACCTTGAAACGCCCCATTCTCCTTCCCCCAAATCACAGACCCGATGCACCCAAACAAACACGAGAACAGAAAACAGCCAACATTCGTGTCTGTCGGGTGGTGGGGCGAGGTTTCGGTGAGCGGAGTAACACAATGTACTGCGCCAGGCAACGGAACGGAGCGAAAGCTTTAACCTGGGTGAGGAAATCTCCAGAGAATTATTCCAAAAGTCTTAAGCCATCTCATCCAGTATGAAGGTCTGTAATCCTCATAAAGTGTTTTTACAATTTTTTTTTCCTTTGGTAGATTGGGAAATACCAGCACACTGGCCTTTTGCAGAACTGGTCTTGGCAAACTGAGTTTCAGAGAAGAGGCTTTCAGAGAACTGAGCTTCCCTGAGGTCCCCTTTGGCCACGGGGTGCCCTCCTTCCAGTCTCCCTCCAGCTCCAGATTGGGGCGGGGCTGCCTCCTGAGCTTGGACTCCACCCCTCCACCCCCAGAGGTCTTCCAGGGGAGTCGGAGCCCCGCAGAAACCGGTTCTGCACAGCTCCCAGGTGCCAGGTGCAGCGAGAAGGTCACCAGGACCGGGATTGCAGGCTTCCAGAAGATGCTCTGCAATGTGGGTCCCCACCGACCCTCTCCACCAGACCCACCAGCATCCCCAAGGGTCTTTGCTCCTTGGCGGATGGCGCCAGCATCTCCAGGGGTGGAAGAAGCCCTTGTGGGGGGAGGTGGTCCCACACGTCTCCCCATCTCTCGTTGGAGACCTGAAGTGAGTCACTTGTCTCCCAGACCCTTGGTCCCCGCTTGTCCTCCTGGGACAGCAGGTTAGGAGAAGCCCCTGTGCCCTGTGTACGAGCAGCTCACAGTGAGCAGCCTCAGGCGCCCCATCTCCCAGCGCCCGGGCTGCCAGGGCCTCAGTTCTGTCCTTCCTTCTGCCAGGGCCAACTTTCAAGTACCTTGTGCATTGGGCTTAGTAGGACACCCTGTACACATCCAGAAACATGGAGAAAACATCACGCAAAACTCCTGCAGCTCCCCACCCCCGCCCCGGGGAAGCGCAGCAGGAGGCCGTGGTGGCCTCCCCCGCCCCGCCCCGTGCAAACACCTCTCTGGGGCCAACACCCGCCCCGACATCCTTTTTTTTTTTTAATAATAAATTTATTTTTTATTGGTGTTCAATTTGCCAACATACAGAATAACACCCAGTGCTCATCCCGTCAAGTGCCCCCTCAGTGCCTGTCACCCAGTCACCCCCACCCCCCGCCCACCTCCCTTTCCACCACCCCTAGTTCATTTCCCAGAGTTAGGAGTCTTCATGTTCTGTCTCCCTTTCTGATATTTCCTACCCATTCCGGCCCCAACATCCTGAAGGAGCATTTACTATTTACTCTGGGAGTTGACTATTCCCAGTGACGAGCCACCTTCTTCCTTCCTCAAAGTCGGGGGGAAAAAGGTAGAAAGAAAGAAAGAGAGAAAAGAAAGAAAAGAAAGAAAGAAAGAAAGAAAGAAAGAAGGAAGGAAGGAAGGAAGGAAGGAAGGAAGGAAGGAAGGAAGGAAGGAAAGAAGAAAAGAAAGAAAGAAAGAAAGAAAGAAAGAAAGAAAGAAAGAAAGAAAGAAAGAAAGAAAGAAAATCGACTTTACACGCCCCCCACTCCAGCAGTGGTTCTCAGACATCTGGGGCCACGGGGCAGTGAAACCCCCACATTAACTGCGGAGGGGGGTGGGCACTTGTAAGGACTCTTCAGTTTTTTTCAGACTAAGAACATTAAAAAAAAGAAAGAAAGAAAGAAATCCCACACAACTACCACCTGCCATCCCGGTGGCTTCTTGGGAGCAAGGACATGTAGCCTTTAGAAATTTAAGAACGGCATCCATTTGGGCAGGTCGAGAAAGTCTTTATGGTGCCTGTTTCCACACCGAGGCAGCCTGGCATTTAGGACTCACTAATTCAGAAACTCAGGCCGCGGTGACCTGCGTCTGTAAGGGGACAGGGACTTTATGGAGGAAAGCACCCCGGTGCTGGACGTCAGCCACCACAGCCCTCATCACACCAGGTGGGCCGCCTGCCTCCCCCCCCAACCCCAGCTCCTCCTCGTTGTCACATCTTGACCTCCTCTGGGTCACACGCTTCTGTCCTCCTGCTCCACGGCCCATCCCCTGCCTCCCTCAGGACCTTCGGGGACCTGAAACTCTTTCCCCACCTCTGAGCCCCCAGCCCTCCCCCAGGACCTACCTTGCTGTGTCTGGCACCTGCTGTGCTTTGGAGGGGGCTTGGCCATACCCCAGTACCCCGGGCACTTGGCCTGAGGACGGGCCTGGGAGATGGCAGCCTGTGAGGGTCACAGGACACTGCAGTGACCCACCGACCATGTCAAATGGGAGAAAAAACCCAGAAAAGCATCATCTGAGCAGCAGTGCCTACCCCCATGCCCTGCCCCCCCCCCCGGAGCCCTGCACTCACCCACCACTCACCCACCACCTGGGCTGGAACGAGGGGCGGGCAGGCAAGGGCGGGCGCCAGGATTTTGCAACACCCCCCCCCCCGGGGGAGCTGGCTCTGCCTCCCCACCCAGAGCTGGGAACCACTGACTTGGCACAGCTAGGAAAACATAGTCATCGCCAGAAGGAGGAGAAACCTCATTTCACGAAGGAGGACGCAGAAGCCCACCATTGCAGGGCACCCAGAGCCGCACGGCTGCGTGCAAGACGCCGCCGGAAAACCAGTGTGTGTGTGTGTGTGTGTGTGTGTGTGTGTGTGTGTGTGTGTGTATGTGTGTGCATTTTGGATCCCGGGTCCCGGGGCTCATCCTGCCTCCCCTCCAGCCCTCGTATTTCATTCTGATGCCACCTGGGCCTCAGTTCCCTCTGGCGCAGGGGGACCTCAGGTGGTGCCATCTCTGAGACCCAGGACAGGTGACAAGCAGCGTCCAGCAGGCCTGATGCAGGGGGACCACCCTGCAGTGCCACACACCTCAGGTCACATAGGGTGAGGGCACAGCAGAGAACGATGGGGTGCAAAAGAGGCAGTGTCCCAGCCCCAGGCTCCGGCCTCTGGCCTCCAGTCAAGAACCAGGCTCAGGCAGTCCCTCGAGCCAAACAAATGCTCCTCTTCTGTCCTCCCCCCTTGTCATGCCCCATTTGCACCTGTTCTCCTCAGGTGTCCGGGAGATGCTGGAGGAGGACTGTGTGGCCTACCCAGGTGGGTTTCCCCCCACCTGGGCTCAAAGGAAACCCAAATGCCACCGTTTGGGGCCTTCGATTTTCTACTTTCCAACCACTCAAGCACGAGCACGCACCACCCTTTGGAGCTCACACTGCTTTTATTTCAATCACCACATTGTGTTGGGTTTCCTCGGCACAGCGAGGTGGGGGCTCCCCACTTCTCTGTAGGGTCTCACCAGGCGCAGAGAGCTCAGAACCCAAGCCCAAGAGAGGCCATGCTTTCCCACCAGTAGGTAATTTCCCAACTACCACCCACCCTTGCCCTTTACATCCCCGCCACACAAGCAGGGGCCCCGAAGAGGCCTGAGGACCGGATTCCAGCGGGAGACGGGCCAGGACTGGGTCTCACTTCTGGGAAAGGATGCGCATGAACTCTTCGTAGTTCACTTGCCCGTCCTTGTCCACATCGGCCTCCTGGATCATGGTGTCCAGCTCCTCCTGGGACAGCAACTCGCCCAGCTTGGCCATAGCCTGCTTGAGCTCGTCCACGCTGATGTGGCCATCGCCGTTCAGGTCGAAGGCGCGGAAGACCTCCCGCATCTCCTGCTCACTGCCCCAGGACTTCATCCTCTTGACCATTGCCTCCAGGAACTCTTGGAAGCTGATGACCCCATCACCGTCTGTGTCCACCTGGGCGATGAGCATCTTCAGCTCGGCCTCTGACATATCCTTGCCCAGGGCCTGCATCACGGCACCCAGCTCCTGGGTGTTGATGGTGTTGTCACCGTTCTTGTCAAATCTGGAGAAGACCTCCTTGAACTTGGCCACCTGTTCTGGAGGCAGCTCCTCGGCCATGTTGCCCACACCTGTCACGGAGCTTCCGACCTTGCTGCCAACCGGCTCAGAGCTGGGCACTGCAGCGGGGACGGGCGGCTGAGTGTGTGTGAGGGCACAGCCTCTGTGGCAGCCTTGCCGTGGGACGGGAACCCCTCCTTTTCTGCAATTGGAGCAAAGGGAGGAGGAAGGCTCTCCACCCTCCCCATCATGTCCTTGGGCAAAATCCTCCTCCCAGGGAGGGACAGACCAGCCGCAGACCAGAAATGCAGGAATTGGAGTGGCGGGGCCCGCCCAGGGGAGGCTGAAGGGAGCCACACCACACGGGGGGCCATCGGCGGCCTCCCCTCAGCCCCTGGCCCTGATGGCAGACGGGCCACTGTGGAAGCTTCTTGCCGAGGTGATCTCCGCAGAGAGCACGGCTGGGAAGGGGAAGGGAGCCTTGCGCGGTGGACACAGCAGGTCCTGGGCGAGAGGGGGCCTGGCCTGCCATCCTGGGCTCCTCTCGGGCTGCCTGTCAGTGCTCACCCCACAGGGCAGACTGTGGAGGCAGATGTGCTGGAACTGAGTGGAATCAGGGTGGCCCCATGGGCGTCACTGAACTCCCAGCCCAGGTGGCCAACAGGTCTGTAACGGAGGGTGCGGCCAGCTGCCTGCGGCTTGGAGCGAGCAAGGAGCCTGGGTGTGCACAGACCCCAGCACATGGGTGTGCCACTTGTCACACGAATATTCCGAGGGTGATTTCGGGTGCGAGGGAAAGGCTTCCTGTCCCCCCAGAACACCTCTCCTCTAGCTCCTCTGAATCCGTTCCATCGTTAGGTCCAAGTCTCTCCCTGAGGCCACAGGGAGGAGTGGGGCATCCCTCCCCAGAGAAGCAGGGATGCTGGGGAGCCTGGGCACCCCCGTCTTGTGTGTTCTCTAGATGGCATCTCTGCCCGCTGCCCTGAGTACAGAGTTAGAGCAAGAGCTCAGCCCTTGGGGTCTATTCCTCAAGTCCTCAGCAAGTGGGACCCGAGGCTCTGGGGGCACACTGGCTGGGAGTCGCTATGGGGTCTCTCTACATGCGAGCCCTACACGTTCCTAGGACCTCCACCCTCCACGCAGTGGGACCTGCGTCTCTGAGGGATCAGATAAACTCCAGCTCTGCCTCTCAGCCCGTCAAACCCTCTGAGGAGTCTCTCCTCCCCTAGGAGGCAGCCAGGCAAACAGCTCCCCGGCCTGGTGCACCTGCCCCCCTAGCCCACCCCAGGCTCAGCGCACCTGCCCCCCCCACAGTCTACGCTGGGCTCAATGCACCTGCCCCCCAGCCCATCCCTCACTCAATGCCCCCCAAGCCCACGTCATACTCAGTGCACCTGCCCGCCCAGCCCATGCCAGGCTCAATGCACCTGCCCCCCCAGCCCATCCCAGGCTCAATGCACCTGTGCCCCCAGTCCACCCCAGGCTCAGTACACCTGCCCCCTCAGCCCACCTTGGTCTCAGCGCACCTGCCCCCAAGCCCACCCCGAGTCAGGGGACCCCCAGGTGGAGACACAAAGGGAAATGCTCTCGTCGTCTAACTTCTTTAAAGAGGTCTTGAAGAAGCGCCGCGGTTTCATCTTCGTGCTGGAAGAGGACTGAGGCCTCGATATGTCTTGAGCAATCGGTTAGTCAACGAAGCCGCAGTCGCATCGGGTGGAGAACGCGGTGCAGCCGGGCCTGGCCTAGGGCGGGGCTCCCGGCAACCAGGGCGTTCTCTGAAGACTCTATGAAGATATAAATCTATATTTTCACATTTTATTTTCCTCTTCCCTTAGGAGCGGGATCCGTGATTAAAAATCCGAGGCGCTTACCATTTTCTTGTTTTCCCTCGGTATTAAATGGTGCGGCGTAAACCACGAGGAATTTTTCCGATGCTATCAGGAGGCAAAAGCTCTTGGTTCTTGCTCCGCCGCTGATTTGGAAATCCAGCTTGGTCTCGGTATCTTCATCTATAAAATAGGATACCACGTCATCCTCCATGTATGATCAGGGCACTTAAGATCAAAGATCAAAGCATCTTTGATCAACGGAAGGCATTATTATTCTAGGATAAAGCTCATCTTCGGTAGCAAGGGCTGTGTTTGATGTGACCCGACACTCAGAGGAGGGCCTCCCTCTCTATTTTGTGATTATACGTTTCTTGATTGAGCTGATAAACCAAACTCGTCTGCCCGGAGGTCTGGAGCCCGTCAAGCCGTCCGAGGCTCTGGTGTCCGTCAGCTCGTGGACGTCGCGGCTCGCACGCAGCAGAGGTGGTGTCTAGAGAGAGTCTAGCAAGTGTCCTCATGGGACGGCAGGGGGAGAATGGTGGTCGCTCACTGTCCCCATGCACAGATGGAGCCTTGGGAGGGACGGTTCTTTGCCCAAGGCCACCCACCCCTGGGAAGAGGGCCACCCTCTGTGAGTACCTCCCCACCTGCCACTTTGGGGCCTGCTTCCTCCCTCCCCACCACCGTGTGTTCCAAGCCACGTGGAAATCCCTCACTTCCCCTCCCACCCGGTGTCCTGCCTCGAGCGGCCATGGGTCCCCTGTGCTGGGGAGCTCCGACGGTGGACCCCAGGGCCGGGGAAGGGGGATAGCAGGGCCTGTGTCGCCAGAACCTAACCCAGCGTGATCCAGCCCCTTTCTTGCTCCGCAGCAGCCCCTGCAGAGCCCAGCGCTTTGGAAGGAGCAGGAGGGAGCCGGGAGGAGTCTGAGGTGAGGCTGGGACACTGTCACTTGCTCGTGTCCCAGCACTGGGTCCCCGGGGCCTGTAAGAAGCATGCACAGGTGAGAAGAATGCCTCACGTCAGCCCGTGGGGTGCCCCCCTCCCCGACCGAGTGTGAGGGTTACAGAGAAAGGCTGCCTGCTGGTGGAGGGGTACCTGGGTCTGCTGAGAACAGAGTGCCTGGAGCCCACGAGAACCCAGAGGCTGTGGCCCAGAGACCCAGCAGGCCAGTGGAGGAAGCCTGGGGCCCTCCTGGTGTCACCTGCCCGAAGTCAGAGGTCAGCTGTCCTGCCCAGGACTGGCTCCCTCTCCTGCCCCACCCTGCGGCCAGGGACACGAGGTCTGCTGCCATGGTGAGTGGCTGCAGTCCTAGAGGTCCAGGGGGTCCCCGGGGCTGAGGGGAGGGCAGGGAGGCAGCAGCCCTCCCCTAGGGTGTGGGGGTTCCTGAGAGTGTCCCCCCAGGGAGGGAGTCCTCCCTCCCACTGCTCATGCAGCAGCCCTGCGTGTGCGTGTGCACGTGCGTGTGTCGGGCCCAGGTGTGTGGGGGGTGGCCCAGGCCTCAGCACCCCCAGCCAGCCCAGGCTTCCCCAGGAGCAGCAGCTCACTCAGCCCTCCCTTCGCTCGGGGCCAAGTATGGGTGAGAAACCAGTCAGACAGGTTTGGGGGCCTCCTCTGGCTCCCCTGACTTGCGGGAACCTGCTCTCCCTTCTGTCCCTCCCACTCGGCCAGTCCTTGGGGTTGGCACCTCCGCCAGCCCGCCTGGAACCTCATGTGCCCGCGTGAGGCCGTCCACACACAGAGCTTCCAGAACCGGCTCCCGCCCCCCATCAGGCTGTCAGGCGTCTCGAGAGCAGTGGGCGGTGGAAGTGCTGAGCCTCTGTGCTGCCCTCACAGACGGCGGGGCCCCCAGTGTCCCTCCTGAACCCCTAACCTAAACCCAAGCCACATCCCCAGGAGCGCTCGGGCCCTGGAACCCGGCAGCCATGTGGGGTGTCGCCCTGGCCTCACAGGTCACAGATGCTGTAGCCCGAGGCAGGTGACCTCACCGCAGACAAGATGCCGTCCCCGCCTAAGAGGGTTGACCCTGGTGCAGCTGCAGGACAAGGAGCACCTGCTAGGGACGGGCTCAGGCACACAGTCACCAGGAGCCTTTAGGGCCACCCTGCCCCATCACCCGAGCACCAGCACTGTGGGGGACCTCGGGCGGCCCCTGGCTCCTGCGGGCATCTTCTTGCAGGTCGCAGGACAGACATCCTGGAAGCAGACCGGGGGGCTGTGCCCCGTTCCCAGAAAGTCCCAGGCCTGGGCAAACACCTGGTCTTGCTGCTGTGAGGGTTGGTGTCTGTCGCCTTCACCACTTCCACCCCTCTCGCCCACGATGGAGCAGGTGCTCCCAGGGGCACTGAGTCAATCTGGTAGGTGACCATCATCCTACAGGAAGCAGTCACACGTTGAAGGCTCAGAAGTCAGAGGTCATCTTTCCATTTTATTCTTATTTTTTTTAAGGATTTGTGGACTTGAGAGAGAGAGCAGGAGGGAGGGGCAGAGAGAGGGAGAGAGAATCCAAGCAGACTCTGCACTGAGCACAGAGGCCAACTCGGGGCTCGATCCCACGGCCCCAGGATCACGACCTGAGCTGAAATCAAGTCAGACACTGAACTGACTGAGCCCCCCGGGGGGCCCCGCATTTTTCCATTTTGGATGGTTGTGCAAGCCATGCCGGGATTCTAGGGCTACCAGCGGGTCACCTGGACAAGGGCAGAGGCCCTGCTGCCGCAAGGCTTGTGTTCAAAGAGCAGGCCTTGCGGGTGACCCTCTGCCCCCAGAGCTGACTGCCGGCGCCGTCGGTGCCCGCGGTCTGCCTAGACTTGCCGGGCGGTGGGCAAGGGCCATCGTTCCCACCCTGTGACACCCTGGGAGCTTGGCAGGATGCACGCCGCCCTCCTTGCACCGTCCCCACACACGCACGCGGCCCCGGCAACAAGGGCCCTCTAGCTCTCCGGCGCTTTCCACGCGAGATGCTTTTCCGAGGACAGAGAGGTGACCCTTCAGGCGCCAAGCGTGTTAATTTTGGCCATCTGCGGTGGGGACCTTCCGAGGGAGTTCCCTACGCTCTACTCCCCGTCACTCTGGGCGAGCAGGGCGGGCTGTGGCCCCAAGAAATGGCCCCGTGGGTCCCGTCACAGTGGGGACAGGACAGGTGCATGCGCCGAGCCCTGGAGGGTCTGGTTGCCGCACCTTCTCGGGCCGACCAGCCCCAGCTCCTGTCTGCACACAACCACATACCTGCCACAGCTCCCGGCCTCGTGTCACAGCAGTTTAGACACAACAAGGTGGAACCGAAGTTGTCAGGGAAGAAAAAAGTCGACCAAATGTGTAAATCAGCAAGCTTAATTTAAAAACAGTAATAAATCGGGGCTCCTGGGTGGCTCTGCGGGTTGAGGGTCTGATTCTTGGTTTCAACTCAGGTCGTGATGTCGGGGTCGTGAGGTCGAGCCCCCAGTCAGGCTCCGAGCACATCAGGGAATCTGCTGGGGCTTCTCTCTCTCCCTCACTGGTGTGCATGCTCGCTCTCTTAAAAAAAAAAAAAAAATTATTTATTTATTTATTTTAAAAAAATTTTTATTTATTTATGATAGTCACACAGAGAGTGAGAGAGAGAGAGAGAGAGGTAGAGACATAGGCAGAGGGAGAAGCAGGCTCCATGCACCGGGAGCCCGACGTGGGACTTGATCCCGGGTCTCCAAGATCGCGCCCTGGGCCAAAGGCAGGCGCTAAACCGCTGCGCCACCCAGGGATCCCTATTTATTTATTTCTGAAGATTTTATTTATTTGAGAGACAACATGGGAGAGAGAGAGAGAAAGAGAGAGAGAGAGTGAGCATGGGCGGGGGTGGGCAGAGGGAGAAGCAGACTCCCCAAGGAGGAGGGAGCCCGACTCGAGGCTCGATCCCAGGACCCCAAGGTCATGACCTGAGCGGAAGGCAGATGCTTCACTGACTGAAACACCCAGGGGCTTTCAAAAAATTTAAAAATGTTAATTAAAAAAAACAATAATAAATCAGTCAGTCTGAGAGTGGTGCCGGGTGTGTCTAATCTATCTCTGGATTCCGGACGAGACCCTAACGCATCACATGAGGCTGCTGTTCCCTGCACCCTGGCTCAGACACACCTGCTGCAGCTCCCTCCCCTGACCCCTGCTCCGGGGCTGCTGCTGGTTCCATCCACCTGGCAAGAAATGAGGGAGGGAGGGGCCCCTGGGTGGCTCAGCAGTGGAGCACCTGCCTTCGCCTCAGGGCGTGATCTCCGAGTCCTAGATCGAGTCCCACGTCGAGCTCCCTGCAAGGAGCCTGCTTCTCCCTCTGCCTGTGTCTCTGCCTCTCTCTGTGTGTGTCTCTCATGAATAAATAAATAAAATCTTAAAGAAGGAAAGAAATGAGGGAGGGAGCAGCCCCAGGTCCTCCTGCAGATGGAGGAGCCCCGGGTGCACCCACGCGTCCCAGTGCATCCCATATGTCCCAGTGTGTCCCAGTGCGTCCCAGTGCGTCCCAGTGCATTGTTCAGAAAGAGCCAGTTAGGCCGCGGAGCTCCCAGAGCGCCAGCCGCGGGGCCCTCCCTACCCGCTGGGGTTCCCTTGGAGAGCTCCCAACAGCTCTTCGCCATCCCGCCCCACGTCCCCCTTTCCATCTGCCCCGAGGAGAGCCAGGCAGGAGGCTAACAGGGTCTCCGTCCAAACATGCCCACCCCACTGTGGACATGACCACACAAACTGGGTCACGATGTCCTATGTTGGTGAGCAGAACATTCCAGAGCATGGATGACAGCCCCCCCCCCACTGCAGGACTGGTAATACCTGACGCATGCCCTTCTCTTGCTCTCTACATTGGCTTGAACGCGTGCACATCCGCACTCAAGGACTGGAATGACATGACCGCCCACACTTTACCTTGTAGGGTAAGGACGGTTCAAGAAGGACCACCTTTCCTTTTATACCCTTAAGAACCGTAAGGACCTTCTCTGTTAAAGAACTGTTGGCAAGTTTATATAAACTCATTTCTCAGTGGGTAGGTGAACGCTCCATCACGGTCAGCCAGGCACCAGACCAGGGGCTGACTTTGGGGATCCCCGGGGTGGGGGTGCAGGCACAGCACAGGGGAGAAGCGGGAAGCAGGGGGGCACAGCTGCTAGAGCTAGGGGAGCAATCTGGGGGGGGCTACTGGGGTATCAGGATGTGAGGGGGGAAGAGCAGGGTCTCTGGGTCCCTGGAGAGACAGGCGGTAACAGGAGGGGAAGAAGAGGGGAGCCCCAAAGCAGAGAAGTTGCCGGAAGCTAATTACCGTTCTTCACCGTTTTGTCAGAAGTCCCAGGACACAAACAATCCACCTGTTACACGAGGACGTAACCAGTGCCCTGTCCTGGTCATGCTAACGGCTGTGACACGCGGACGCAGACAGCCATCAGGAGTTTAGATCTGACTCGATGTGCCAGCGGATGGAGGCCCAAAGTCAGAGGTGAAACAGCAGAAATACAGTAAAATGATTCTGGAAATGGGAAGTCATGAAAGACTACGCTAAAAAATAAGAGGGACTCTGTTAGAAATAAGCTGTCCTGTGAGTGGTAAAAAGTGACTGTCCATAAAGAAAAGTTGGTGCCTTTTGTGTTGGCATGAATACTCCTAGCAGTCAGGGCTCAGAAGGAGAGATGAAATATCTCATGTAGAGCCTGGGTCGTGCGAGAAAGCAAACAGCTTCTCTGGGATTTCGTGGCAAAGATGACCAAGAGTTTATACTCACAGCCTTCCCTAAAAGTAATATGAACGTCATAAACCCCATTATTTCTCCCGGGAAACATGGCCAGCTGGAGACTTCCAAGAATACACTTCCAACTTCCCTTGCTAGTATACTTATGCCAATAGTTTCTGCCCAAGACGGTGTAAGCCAAAGAATTGTGCGCAGTCTCTGGGAAGAGAGGAGATGGACTTTCTCCACCATTTTCCAGAATTCTGGCTTGAAGCGAGGCCCTGACCCGTTGCCGGGGATCAGGAGTTGGTGTAGAAGTAGGGACATCATCACATGGCTCTCCTGTGGACTTCCTTTATATTCATGGAATAAAATCCTACATTGTGTAAGCTACAAAAAAAAAAAAAAAAAAAGACAAGAAAAAGAAAAAGTGACAGGTCTTGGAGGAAATGATCGAGAGACCAGTCATTTAATATATCAATGAAGAGCCCTTAATTTTTTTTTTAAGAAACCATAATTAAATAAAAAAACAGGCCAAGGATACGAAGCCAGCTCACAGAAGAGCAAATCCAAATGGCCAACAAACATATGGAAAGACTCTGCCATTTGGCAGGAGATGGAGACGCACAAACTAGAGTAATAATAATAACAAGGTATCATTTTATCCCCAGTCTGGCTGGCAAAAATTCGCTGAAATCACTATTGCCAGAGAGAGAGGACACCAAAAAATGGGTATCTCCCTAGGTTGCTCGGCAAGAGGTCAGCTGGGGCAGCAACAGGTCATGCAGTAAAACCCGGAGTAGGATTATATGAGCCCGATCACAAATCTGGACCGTGAGCAGGGCGGGGAGGCGCAGGGAAGGAAATACAAAGAGAAGGAAAAGATGAAAAACATGCATGATATGGTCCGTGTGCGCACATGAGCACGGGTGTACGTGTGCAAGACAACTTATCTTTAAAGGACCTTTATATCTGCTGCTATTTCTGGGATGACTCATTTTCCTTTTTTTTTTTAATTTTCTAATTCTTTCATTTTTATTAGTTGTAAGACTTATATAAAAAAAACATTTCCTATCAACTATTTTGTTATCTTGAGGCACAGTTTGTAGAGGAAAAACAGGATAAATACTTTGATTTTTTTTTTCAGCTTATTTATCAGTTTTTGGAAAAATTAGTTGTTCTCTTAGCATCCCCTGAAGGTGACCAGTGAGAGTTGTTTTGTTTTCTGAGTGTCATTATAAATTCAAGGATTTAAGTGCTTTGGGTGTGTTCTAATCCATTGCAGTTATTATCATAATTGCTGCTGAACTTGTCCCAACTTTGGCTAGTGGAAAATCTTTTAGGTTGACTCTTTCATCATCATTATAAACAAGCTTTATTAAAGACTATGAATTCAGTTTCCAAGGGAGTTATAAATGGTTTTCTACAGAGAGATTATTTACTTGGTTTGTTGTTTTCACAGATAAGATGTGTTTTGACCCATTGGGGTTATGTAGCTCATGTATTAAAATTGGAAGTTTATTCTGTTGTTCTTGACATCTGTGACCTGCAATGTTTGATTTGATCTCTGATCTGTCTTCACTCTTTTTTTTTTGTATATTTTTTATTGGAGTTCGATTTGCCAACATATAGCATAACACCCAGTGCTCATCCCATCAAGTGCCCCCCTCAGTGCCCGTCACCCAGTCACCCCGTTCCCCCACCCACCTCCCTTCCACTACCCCTTGTTCGTTTTTTTCACAAATCCCAGGCTTCGCAGAACTTTCATTTTTAAGAAAAAAGGGAATCAAGAGAGGCACGCTTGGTGGAATCAGATTCACCATCCTGGGTTTCCAGCGAGCTGGAAGTGGCCCCCAGGCGTGAGTGAGGCCTCCCTGCCGCTTGGAAGGGTCCACAGGCCCAGCGGCTTCTGGTCCTTGGGACTTCCGGCCCAGGGGGGTTTCAGAGGGGTTCTCTCTCTCTCCGGCCTTTTATTTTTTTAAAGATTTTTATTTATTTATTTGAGCGAGAGAGAGACAGAGAGAGCGAGCACCAATGGGGTAAGGGGCAGGGGGGAGAGGCAGGCTCTCTGCTGAGCTGGGAGCCCCACTGAGGCAGGGCTGGATCCCAGGGTCCTGAGGTCATGACCTGAGCCCAAGGCAGACCCTCAACTGATGGATCCCCCGGGCACCCCCTCTTTCCTTTTAGATCCACCTGAGGGACTGTCTCCTCGGCTCCTCAAACTTGCCCAGGATGTGAGCAGGTCTTGATTTTTATTATGTTTTTCTCAAGCTGCACGTTTGGTGTCTTTTGAGTGTCACCTGGGAAGCAGGTAGCAAGTCGGGCAAGGTGACTCTGTTAGATCATCACGTTCAGGGAGACTCTCGCCTCTTCAGGGAGCCAAGTGTAGAACACGTGGAATGGAACCTCCGTGGGGCACATTCCCTGACACCAGGGGTCCCCGCGCTGGGCCTAAGGAGGTGGCGTGGACACGCTTCCACGAGATGCGCCCCGTGGGCCTGTTGGAGCCTGACAGGGTGTATCTGAGGCTTGGCTGGTACTAGGTGGTGTGGCTGAGCCACCAACTCAACTCCGGGGAAGGGGGAGGGGCCTTTCCAAAACGCCCAGGTTAGCAACGGGGACAATGGGAGCAGTAGGGCTCCTCCGATCCCTCTGGAGTCCCCAGCAGCGGGCCTGAGGCCTGTGGCCGGAGCGCCCCCAGGGCCACTCCTGCTGCCCCCAGGCCAACCCCGTGAAGGAACTTTCTAGTCTCAGTTCCTGGACGGCCCCTGACCCCAGGGGGAGGGAATGGAGCGGCGCAGGAGGGCCCGGGGCAGGGGCCGTGCGAGGACGCCCAGGCAGGGTGCTCGGGGCCCCGAGGGACCAGCCCGGGAGAGGCGGCCTCGCGGGACGAGGGGCTCAGCGGCTGCCCTGCTCAGGAGTGAATGGGGCCGTCCCGGAGTGTCCCCCCGCGTCCTCTCTAGACCGCCCAGCCGACCACCGGCAGGGGGTGACCCAGTGCCTTCATGTCCACCACCCCCTGCCTGGACTGACCCGGAGGCTCTTTTTGACCCAGATGCTGCGAAGGAAGACGCTGGCGGTCCTTGCACCTGCCCGGGGGGCCGGGGAGAGAGGGACCTGCGGCCCGAGCGGCGGGACAGGCGCGGGCCTCCAGGGGGCTCTGACGGCGGACATGGGGGGCTCCACAGAGCCCGGAGCCGGGGAGCAGGGCCGCCCGCCCCGCCGGACAGGCTCCTTGCCCAACCTGGGCAGGACCAGGTGACGCACCGCGGGGCGGCTCCTCGTGACCCCGCCCGGAAAGGATCAGTCATCCCCGAGGAGCCCGTCCCCTTGTGCCAGCTTCGGGGGGGGGGGGCCTCGGCACAGATGCCCCACGCTCCAGCTCCGGCTGTTCCCAGAGCCCCTGCTGCCCGCGGAGAGGTGCCCCAGCAGGGATTGCCCGGTGCTGCCTCCCCGGGGGGCTGTGCCCACCCCAGGGACCCCAGGCCGTGCTCACTCCTCTCTCCCTCCCTGGGAGGGGGGATGCTGTGCCCACCCCCACGGACCCCAGGCCTGGGTCAGTGCAGGCCCTGAGCTCACACTCCCCCTGGAGGAGCCCTGGGCCTGAGGTCAGGGCCTGAGGTCACCTGGCCGAAGTTCCCACCACCCTGGGTGCAGGGATATCAGACCTTTTGGGTCAGGGCCCCTCACGCCCACCGCTCCGCCTAGCCCCACCACATGGGCTCAGCTGCCGGGCTGCACCCACACGCCTGCCCCCCACGTCGCCTCCACGAGCCTGCGTCCACCTTCATCCACCCTCAGCCTCCTGCTCCCCAGCCTTCCGGGGCACGCTGCCCCCCTCCTGCCTGACCCCCTCCGTCCCTGGGTAACCTGGCCTGTGGCCCCGCCCATCTCTCTTCTGGGGCTTTTTCATGTTTTTCTCCTACTTTTCCTCCGGGTTCTTCATCTGTGTGTCTTTTTGAGGTCCACGCCCCCCATTCACATATGGAACAATGATTTGTTTTTTAAAGATCTCCAGTCTTTACCTCTCCTTTAAGAATTTTCTTCACATTTTTTTTTTAGCTTATCTGACTACTTTTTGGCATCTTGAAAAGAGAACAGAAGGGTACCTGGGGGGCTCAGTGGTTGAGCGTCTGCCTTCAGCTCAGGTCGTGACCCCAGGTTCCTGGGATCGAGTCCTGCACCGGGCTCCCCGCAGGGAGCCTGCTTCTCCCTCGGCCTGTGTCTCTGCCTCTCTCCCTGTGTCTCTCATGAAGAAATAAATAAAATTTTTAAAAAAGAGAGAGAGAGGAGGGGAGCAGAGCTTCCTCTCCACCTGTGCCCGCCCACGCGGGCCGCGCTCTGCAGCCTGATCCCTGCGCGGCGACAGCACCTGCCTAGCTCTCTCCTCCTGCTCCCGCGCCGCCGCTGATGCTGGGCCATCTCGCTTCCCTGAGTGTATTCCAAACTGTTACCACGCACACTGAAACAATCTTCCTTTAGAACCAAAGTGTTGCACACCAGTGCTAAATATTTGGGTTCATGGTCAGGTGGTACATTTGTTTCCTCGAGCTGCACAGCTTTTCCCCCTACGATGCATTTGAAATTCCTTCCTCTGGGTCTACTAAACGGACAGACATATGGATAATAGTAGATGAGAGACGACTGATCGATAATGGGTGAGAGAGGGGGGCCATAGTTCTGCAGCTCCCCAGGTCGGCGTGGCAAGGAGTTGGGGCGCCGGCGAGCGGAGCAGCAGGGGCGCACACCAAGAGCCCCACCCAGCCCTCCACGCATCCTGCACCTGCCGCCTCCTTCCCTGTAGGGAAGCAGCACCTGCCCAGCGCCCAGCCTCTCAGGGGCCTCCGCCCTGGCAGGTCTAGGGGTCAGGTGCTGCCAAAACCCCGACTCCTCGGGAGGCCAAAGCTGCTGCCCCCCACACCTGCCCACCGAGACACGCCTGGCTCCGTGCAGACAGAGGAGGTCAGGGGAAGTTGAGGGGTGCGATGTCAGGCCCCCCGGGGCGGCCCCGATGCTGGGCCCACCCCCACCCCCGAGTCAGGCCTGCGGCAGGTGCCTCCTTCTCAGAGCCTGCCCCGAGCTCACCGGTGACTTGCCCTCGAGCACCCCGCGGAGGAAAATCTCAGAACTGAGCACCGCCCCATCCATCCCCCCCTTTGCCCCGGACTCCTGGTGGGGCTCCCCAGGGCCACTCCACACTGCACACCCAGCCCCTTTCTCCTCCTGGGGCCATCCCTTCTCTGCGTCCCCAAATTTGGCCTCCTCCGCGTGCAATGCTTGCTCCTGGGTGAGGTGCATTGGGGGCCCCCGTACTGCTTCGGAGGAGCTCGGGGCGGCCTGTCCTCCGGGCTCAAATGCAGAAATGCCGATGCCGGGTTGGACGCCAGGTTGGACACTGGGTTGGACGCGGGGGGCGCTCCGGGTCGGCCGGACCCTGGAGAGCCTTGGCTCGCTCCAAGACGCTGCACCCCGGGTCACCAGCCCTCCTGCTCCGTCCCCCCCCCACCACATAGCCCCACTCCTGGGACCAAGCCTTCCAGCACCTTCTGTCTCCCAGGTTCCACCCCCGCCAGCTGACCTTGGCCAAAGGCCTCATCGCCCGTGCAGCAGGTGTTTCTCGAAAGCCGGCTCCGTGCTGGGGGCTCTGCGGGACCCAGAGAGTCTCCCATGAACGAGACGCCCTCCCTGCCTCCCAGGGACTCAGAGGAGAGATTCCCTCGGCGGTGGCGATGCCCCTCAGCCTGGTCCCCAGAGCCCAGAGAGCCAGGACACCCTCCCACTGGCGCGGTTTTGTGACTCCCTCCCAAGGTGCCGAGTCCCGGGTAATCACCCGAGGCCGGTGGGTGACCACGTCCTTGTCTGGGGAAGAAGGGGGTTTAGGCGGGAGGCGTCTTTCGGAAATCCTGAGCCGTGGAGGCCAGTTTTGCAAGGACATCTTCCTCCGATGCTCAGTGACCATCGGCCCCTATGGAGCCCTCGGCGTCACACGGGCTACCACGTCACCCTGCCGATGACGACCCTGGGCCAGCAGAGCCGCGACCGGGCCCCGCGCGGGAAGAACAGGCACCCGGGCCTCCGCGTCCCCCTCTCCGTCACCAGCCTCTTGGGAGGGACCCCTGCCGACGCCCGGCGAGTTGAGAGCCACCGAGTGAGCAGCCAGCAAAGAGACGTCCGCACTTGGCTGAACCCCTTCGCCCCCCTCAAATCGCTTACGGGGTATGGAGCCCGCACCCCAGACACTCCTGCCTTCCCCACCCTTCCCATGCTCCCGGCAGGTGTGGGGGCTCACCTGGTGCTCACCTGAGCCACATGCCCACACGAGCGCACACTTGCACACACACACGCACATGCACGCACATGTGCTTTCTGCATCCAGGGAAAAGGTTTTCATCACAATTATAAACTTCAAAGGCCTGGAACTTGGAACAAACGCTCTTCCGGCCTCTTTGAGAGCTCTGAACCCTCCAGGAAGACCAGCTTGTTCTTTGGAAGGTAAGTCCCGCACCCTGTTCTCGTGGGGA